TATTTTATCTGGTAATTTGATACATATTGAATCTGAACGGCTACTGATGATGTAAATATGGCAGAACTGTGGTTATAGAGTAGAGGATTGAGGTTGTCTTAACTTGGCTTCTTGCTTAATGGATCTCTGTATTCACCCTCACACCAGTCTTCCTCTCGGTTATACCTGTACTTGTTATATTTTACATTTGAATACTATTGGTGGTTTCTCTTATTAAAATGTGAAAGTGGTGATATTAACCTCTTGACAAACATTGTTGCAAATTGACGTCCAAATTGAACGTTAAGGGATATGAAGTAGATTCAGTCTAGAGGTGTTCACTGAAGGCCCAGGTACCATATGCCCCGCCCACCACTGGTCAAATGATCAAAAATTTCCATCCTTTCCTCGATGGGCCCTTGGCTGGTCCCCTACAATTCCTTTTTAAACATCAATCTTTGTACTAAAATGATGATTTGTGGTAGTGTTGCACCGATACCAGTATCGGACGGGGCCCCGATACTGCCCTAAAATGGTGGTATCGGTATCGGCGAGTACCAACCAATAGGACACCGATACCATTTTGAGAGCCATAAGTTTATTCAACTATTGTCACCCACTCCTGGTAGGCAATAAAAAGTTCTACTGGATTCACTTTGTATTCGATTTTTTCCTGCTTCCCAAAGGTAGGCAGCAGCTTGACATGAAGCCATGATGGCAACTATTTTACATTATTATGGTATCGGTATCGGTCGATACTGCACAGCCAGGTATCGGGTATCGGGGCCAAAAAATGGCATCGGCGCAACACTAATTTGTGGACATTAAGATCTAAAGAAAGGCGCCATCTTCTGGTCAGACCCTGTAATTCAGTGAAAGGGTGGAGTCAGAGTAAAACAATATGCACACCCAGAAGAATGAGGGGGGGCTCCAGTGGCTGGAAGTTGGAGGTGATTTTGCAGGAGATGTAGGGAAGATTATGTTGGTGTTTGATCGGGAAGGGCCATTTTGATTGGCTGCTACTGTAAATACATACAAATAAGGTGAAGATGACAATAAGTTGCAGGAGAATCTAACTGTATAATATTCTTTTTTTTTTTTTTTTTTACTTAATTGAAACACTTAAAGCTGTGTTGATGTTTGTTAAATAGCAAAATATGGACAAAGTTTTATAGACATTTTTAATGGAAAAACAGTTAGAGACATACAGGAAAAACAATGCGCATTCAGACATTAACCGAAACTTAGAGTAAATTGTTAGTCATGTTTTTGAACAGTGGGAACAGGCCGGAGTACCCAGAGAGAAGCAACGCATGTAGGGAAAAAAACATGCAAACAACAGGCTGGGATTGGAACCCACAACCTCAATGCTGGAACATAACAGCACCGGCGTTCATTCCACATGACACAGTTCTAAGCCTTAAATGGTTTTACAAGTTTTGTCATGGTTGAAATATGACACTGCAACTTTACAGTTATTTTATATTCATGCTTAAAAAATGTATTCAAGCTGAAATGAAATTTTAGCAGGAAAACAGAAAACCCTACCATCTCGGTGCTTTAAATTCAAAGCAGCATGTGAGTGCTAAAAGCAGCCAGTCAGAGGGAAAATGGAAAAGCTGCTGCGAGGTGAAAACACTAAATTGACTGCTGGGTTGCCCTGAAAACATGTCACCATGAAGGCATTCCAGGCTGGAATATATGTCGTGCTGCACAGGGATCCATGCATGATGTGGCATTTGCCAACACAAAAACACAAAATAGAGAAAAGACCCCAAATGGGGTTGAAGAGAAACAGGCGCCAAGGTGACACAGAAGGCCCCTCCCCCCACATGGCTAATCAATCCCTCATCAGATGTGAGAGGTGTCACGCAGAGGGGAGCAAGGACAACAGCAGCAGTAAAAGGTGATACATGAAAGCAGAGAGGGGGAGGAGAGGCACGTACCAATTCATATTCGTCAAAAAGCTGTATGAGCGATGGGGGGATGAAGGTGTGGAATCCTTGTAAGAAGGCGTTTATCTGAGGCTGGATGGCTCGTGTCATCCTCAGCTCCGTCACCAGCTGGACGTACTCCGCCTGAGAAAAACATTCACTCACTGATCAAAACCTCTACAAATACAGATGGACAAGAGAAGGACGAAGTTCATGAATAGTTATTCTTTCCCCAGGGGGCTTTTCAGAGCCTTACAATACAGCACCACCTACAGGAGTAATGTAGAATTACAAGGCATTTGAAAAGGGATCAATGCTGTTCTGACATTTTAAAAAAACATTGAGCTTATGCTTTAAATGACCATCTATATAAATAACTTTGACTGACCGTCACACACTGGTATGTTTTCCAACTAGGGATATGGTAGCTGGAATCCATATTTATAAATATAGATGAAAATGGAAAAGAACGCGACCTTAAACAGCAGTACTGTTTATAAAGACCAGAAAAATGGCAGTGAGATGTCTTCAGCAATATCTCACTGCGTGCTTTAAAATGACCCTTCATCATCAGCCATGTTAA